TTATGTGAAGAGGAATTGATGAGAGCACATGTTTAATTAAAATTAGTCTTCCCATAGGGTTTAGGGTTTTACTATACCAACTGTCCAAGTATTTATCAAAGTGAGCTAGTAGTTTGGAACAGTGATGTTGTTTGAGTTTCCCTTTGGTCATGGTAGCTCCAAGGTAGATGAATGGAAGGGTCCCATGAGACATCCCCAAGTTCCTTTCCATAGTGCTTATTTTTCCTTGGCTCACCTTTTTGCCAGTGTAAAAATAACTCTTGTCCAGGTTTACCTTCTGCCCTGATCCTTTTTGATAGTCTTCTAAAATTCTTCTGAATTTAAGAAGGTTTTTAGAATCTCCATTAACAAAGACCACCAAGTCATCTGCAAAGGCAAGATGGCTTACCAAAGGTAAGTTCCCAGTGTTGAACGAGCCTAGGTAGTGGTTCTTCATGTGAAAGTTGATCATCCTGGAGAACCCCTCACTACTAAGTAGGAATAACAAGGGAGATAGAGGGTCACCTTGTTTCACTCCCCTTTTCATTAGGAAAAAACCAGCAGGTGTTCCATTGATCAATATTGATAGGTGTGCACCTTTCAAGTTGGCCATTAGAAGCTGTTGTGACCTTACATTAAATCCCATTAGATCCAGAATAGCTTCTAGATATTCCCATTCCACCTTGTCAAATGCTTTGGCCATGTCTAGTTTGACAATACAGTTATCTCCCCTTGTGTTTTTGCCAATCATATGGACCATTTCTTCTGTCAGAAGTATCTGCTCTTCTACACCTTTGTTTTTTTGAAAACCTGTCCGTTCCTCTGATATGCACTTAGGCAGAAGGACTGAAAGTCTAGATGCTAGGATCTTACTGATGATTTTGCTCATAAATGTTGAAAGAGATATAGGTCTGTAATCCCCAAAAGATTTAGGATCTTCTGATTTGGGGATCAAAGTAATGAAAGTACTCCCAAATGATCTAGGAACTGGAATTCCAAGGAAAAATTCTTGGCAAGCTAGGATGACATCCAACTTGATGATATTCCAACATTGTCTGAAGAAGTAGCCATTGTAACCATCAGGTCCTGCTGCACTGTCTGGGCTCAGATCCCACACAGCTTTAGTCACTTCCTCTTCATTAGGAACATTACAAATGAGCTCGTTATCAGAGACATTGATAACCTTAGGGATAAACTGGGATATGAGGCTAACATCTGTGATTGAAGTATTAGAAAATGAGGATGAGAAAAATTTGATTGCTTCAGAGCAGATATCTTCTATATTGGTGAGGATTTGACCATTTTCATCTTGGATGGATCTAATGGTAAGCTTATTTCTCTTGTTCTTAACAAAGGAATGAAAAAACTTTGAGTTGCAGTCACCATCTGTCATCCATTTAATATTTGCTTTTTGTTTCCAGAACTCTGTTTCTCTATTGATACCGCTAATTAGGTTGGCAGAGGCTAGGTTTGATGCAGCTCTGTTTTCCTCAGTAGGATTAATCTCAAACTCCTCCTGAGCTTTGCTTGCCTCTTTTTCTTTGATTTTCACATCCTTAAAAATATTTCCAAAATGCTCCTTGTTCCAAGAAGACAGTTCAGATTTCAGTCCCTTCAATTTTGCTGCAAGGCCAGACATCCCCCTTGTTCTAGGGCTTGATACCCAAAACTTTTCAAGTGTAGAGTAAAAAGTGTGATGAGAAGTCCAAACATTGAGAAATCTGAAGGGTTTGGGTCCACTGAAACCATCAGTGGTACACTTAAGAAGTATTGGTTTGTGATCAGATGTAGTTTTACTGAGGTGATAAGAGCAGATTTCATTAAACATTTGGGTGCAATAGGAATTAGTGAGGATCCTGTCTAGTCTTCTCCACACCCTTCCCTTGCTTCTGACCCCTGTCCAGGTATAAATACCACCATTGAAAGGGGGGGAGATCAGGCCACATGATTGGATGCAATCTGCAAATTCTTCCAAGTCTTTAGAGTTTGGGTCAGAACTCCCTTTGTGCTCATTGAAGTGAAGAATAGTGTTGAAGTCCCCGCCCACTACCCAAGGATGATCTACAGAGTTAATCGTGATAAGATCCTCCCAAAGCTGCCTTCTAAGAGTTGTACTGTGACCACCATAGACTGCAGTGATGCTGAATTTTGATTTGAGGTTGGAGCTCCAGAATTCACAGGTCAAGCATTGTCTATTTTCAATGAAACTTTGTAGGGAGAGGGAGCTTGCTTTCCAAAAAATCCAAATTTTATTGTTGAGCCCATCTTTGGAGAAGTTGAAACCAAGGTTAAGGGTATACCAATCCCTTTTTTTCCTATTTACAATAGGTTCAATGATGCACAGATAGTCAACATTATGTAATGTAACTAGTGTTTTCAGCCTAGTAAGTGAGGAGGCTGCACCACAAACATTCCAAAATAAGCAATTCATAAGAATTTTTTGGTGTGTCCTTCAGTAAGCCTTGTTTTGCTTCTGGTCATTATTGTCCTTGAAGATGGTTGTTTACCCTTCTTGTGAGATTTAGGGATGGCCAGAGAGGGAGAGTTCTCTTTTGGTAGAGATACTTCGAAGGGCTGAAGTTCTGAGTTGATCCAAAATGTTGGTTCCTTTTCCCCTTCAGAATGGCAAACTGCCTCTGGGAGATCTACTTCTCCTTCACTATCTGATCCCATACCCATTGAGACCCAAGCCTGAGGATCAATTAGAAACAAGTCATCCTTAGATCCCATGTCCAATATTTTTGAGCAGTGGTGTTTGTCTGATGATTTGAGTGCCTTCCCTTGATTTAGAGGGTTATGATGATGGTTAACTGATTCCTTGCTTGCTGATGATAGGAAAATTTTTTAGGCAAAAGATTTAGCAGCTGGGAAGGAAGGAAAGTGCTCCTGTACATTGAAGAGGGAATGTAGGCCCCACTTTTGAGACTGTTCACTCTCCTCAGGTAAAGTGATATGATTATTTTCTACGGCTATAATTGGGGTCTGTAGGAGAGAGACATCTGGTTGAGCTGCAGAATTTTCACTAATTGGTTGTGTATGTCCAGTAGTTGTTGGATAGGATTCTGTGGCCCCCTTAACTGTTAAAGTTTTTTGGACTGAAGCCCCTGGATGTTTTACTTGCACCCATACATGTGAACTAATAGGATGAGTTGCATGGCCCCTCTTGGATTTTCCCAATGTCCAGCCTGCATTCTTGCCCCTAGGATGAGTTGCCTGGCCCCTCTTGGGGTTCTCCAATGTCCAGCCTGCATCCCTACGAGTACTGTATGGGTGTTGTGAATGTGTAGCTTGGCACTTCTTAAAAGATGAATCTAATATCCAGCCATCATTCACCCCAAAATTTTGAAACCAACCTTTAGGGTCCTTATCCTGACACAGGTGCTTTTTACTATTAACCCTCCCAGATTTGTTACTAACCTCTGTCCACTCCGAAGAAGTCTTGGTGCTAAGATTTACAAATTTACCCTTGTTCTTGTCAGGAACTGTAGAATGGCCATGGGATCTGCACTTGAACTTTGAAGGTCCAAGTTTGCAGCATCTATAGCAGAATCCTGGGACATTCTCAAAAGAGCATTGAATGATGATGTCTCTAGGGCCAATTCTAAGGTGAATCTGTGGAGGAAGCTTCTTTAGTACGAACCAGATGGGTTGTTTTAGAATCCATGGTACAAGGTTTCCCCAAGGTGCTAGCAATAGTAAACAGAGCCTTAGGAGTAATGAGATGCGTAGGGAGATTATGGAAAGTGGCCCAGATAGGAATAATAGGACAGTCTTTATTTGGACAGTATTCTGGTGTCCATTTGAAAATATAAAATCTGATATGGTTAATGTACCAGTTACCTCTCATGAAGAATTTAAGATATTCCTCCTCTTTGTTAAAGATGAACAGGATATCATTGTTGGATAGTCTTCGTAGTTTGAAGCCTCCTTTGAATCCAATGCCTAATAGGAAGTCATTGATAATCAGCAGGTTGAGGTGTTTGTAAGCTCTTCCTACCAGTGCATATTGAAGATTCTCGCAGAGCTTTCTTTCTTCTTCCAATGTAAATGTAGCTGATGGCATGTTATTATACATTCCCTCCACTTTGCCCATATGAGTGTTTCCATCTTTGAATAGTTCAGAGAAAAGTTTCTGTGATCCTGTATTGTGATTAAATGATGGATAAGTATGCGGAGATTTGAAAGTATTTGTGTAAATAGCAGTTTTGAACTTAGAACTGGCCGGAATATTAGCCGGAAAACCAGAGTTTTCCGGCGGCCTCTCTCCTCTCCTATATATATATATATATATATATATATATATATATATATATATATATATATATATATATATATATATACACACATACATATATATATATATATATATATATATATATATATATATATATATTCATGTGGCATACTCAAATCTTCAGGTTTGAGTTTCACTATTAATGCTTCGAGCATATGAAATCAAGATATGAACTTCAAGTTCACTAGTAAAAAGGAAAAAAAACTGAAGGAATGATATTTTTCCCGACATAATATCTACTCAAGCTTCAGGTTGAGTTTTATCATATAACCATCAATTTTAACACATTATGTAGGCTTCACATGCCAATTCTCCAATATATTTAGGAGTTTTAGATTCAATATATCTACAAGTACACTTGAAAACTAAAGTAAATTAGTGTATATGTATATGTATATATCTATAACATGAATATGAACAAGGACAAGATATGAAGAGGAGTAATTTCTAGAAAATTAGAATTTTTAGAGTATCGTGCTGATAACGTGTTAAAATAAAGATAATAGAAATATTATCAAAAACAAGATGATAGAGATATACCTTGATAAGAACACAAATGGAAGATCAAAGTGCAATGGAGAGTGAAAGAGAAAGAATGCAATGAGAAACTAAAGATATGAATGTCTCATTTCAACATATGGAGCCTCTATATATAGGCTTACAAAGGGGAAAATCAAAGGTCTAACTTAGACATGTAGAACATCAAAAGACATTTGTACATAACATCATGTATGTAGTAATCTTTCCAATACCTTTTTATTCATTAATTATTTTTGCTGTACTTAATTTATTGGGGATTCAAAAAGTTTTTTGGTGACAAAGATTTTGAGTTTAAACATTAAATTGGAAATATACGTTTTTCATAACAATGAAATTAAAAAATTATATTGTTTTGCCTCTTTAATTAGAACTTTGAAATTTCTGAATGCACTTAAAAATTTAGGGATTCGAAATTTGTTTTGGTGACATATTTTATGATTTTAAACATTAAATTTTACATATTTCTATCATTAAAACATTAATTGGGACCTACATTTCTGAAATTTTTTTTAGTGTACAAACAATTCTGGTATTACCAAAGTTATAGAAGTGTAAATAAATATCTTGAATCCACATGTAAATTTAGGAAATGAAGCCCCCAATTTCAATTGGTTGGTTTGAAGTTTGTATATCAAACAAAGCCTATTTATTCTTTTTTTTTCTTTCTCCGTAAGGAGCATAAAGGGAAAAAAAATATAATAATTCTTGATTATTTTGCCTCTTCAATTACAAATTCGAAAACATTAATTGCTATATTTTGGAAAATATAACACTTCCTATACGGTTCATTAAGTATATCACTCATATTTTCTCATTAATTCTTTTTGTTTGCAATCAATCAATTAGGGATGGGGGTAGTGTTATTTTAGTGCATAAACATTTGTGGTATTAAAACATTATATTGGAACTACACCATTTCAAACAATGGAACTCTAAAAGATTTAATAAGAATTGGAAAATATCATTTTGTGTACTTGGGGAAATTGTGAATTTCAATTAGATATTATTCCAACCTTCATCACATAAATCACTCTTTTTTATGATGTTAAATATTTTTGCGTGCAATTATAAAATTAGATGTTAGATTTTTTTTTGTAATTCACAGTAGAATGTGGATAAATCACGTTTTTTACACACGAGCTTAGAATTGAAGTAGAGTCAGAATGCAAGGGTATGAAATAAAAGAAATCAAATTCTTATTAAAAGAATTGAAGTATTTTGTTGGCTCTTAAAATAATTACTAGTGAAATGCAATAGAAGTGTAAATAAGGTTAACCATTAAAAAAATATTTAATCTGAGCCGCACGATGCATCAGATCCAAAGGCTAGATTTCATTCTTATTTCTTTCACCAAGGTGCATACTCAAATGTGTGTGTGTGTGTGTGTGTATATATATATATATATGTATATGTATATATATATATATACATGTGTATATATAGATGTATATATATATATGTATATATGTATATATATATATATGTATATATATATATATATACATACATATGTATATATATATACATTTGATTAGTCTCCAAAAGGAACAAAACACACTTGAGCAGAACAAACATTTGATTAGTCTCCAAAAGGAACAAAATTTGTTGTCCAAATCAGGCTACCTGAGCTGAAGAAGGTTCAGCACCATCACATTCTTCGAGACTGCAAGGTAATCCCAAGACGAAATGAAAAGTCACATAACACTCTAATAAAAAATGCTAGAGTACTTCAAGCTTACATCAATGAGTAATAAGTGACTTTATGACATGATATAATGACAATCCCACAAGGGTTGTGGTTGTAAGAGCAGTTCTAACTTCTACCTAAGAATATGGAACTTTCTTTGAATCTAGCAGTTGGTGTATCTAGGTTCAAAGAATAGACATCAAAATTTCTTCTCCACAATTTTTTTATTTATATTGAATTTAGCAGGAAAAATTTGTTATGCAAGAAAAAAATGTGGCCAAATTACATTTAATCATCACTACAAAGTTAAAGGAGTAGAAATACAATATTTGGAATGAAGTTTTGAATCGAAATTTAGGTAAATGAAGAAAAAAACCCATTGTGCATGCCTGTCAGGGTGATGGTGCTATAAATTGAGCTACATGTCAACCATCTATTAAATGGAATGCTCTTCTTAGCCTTAAGTGAACAACTGAGAAGAGAAGAAAAGAGAAAGGATCATGGAAAATAATAATCCGTAATGCATTTCATCCATCACTATATGTGCAATGGCCAAGAAACCTGTAAACACTAATGTTTTTTTGGATGATTAAAGTGCTCATTAAGAAAAACATGGCATTCAAGGATAGAATCATTACCGGACCTTAGAATGTTAGACGAAGAAAAAATAAAATGTGCTCCAACCAATCAGCCAAAGTATAGAATTGTATCCTGTCTTATAATATTAAATTATTAACAAGTCCTAAGAAATGGGAATCATTTACCTGTGAAGGCCTTCTCCGACTTCCACTCGTAGAAAGCTTCCTATCTTTACAGGTGAACCCACTTCCTTGGCTAGATTACTCAACACTGTCTGCAAGATTTAAGTGGTTGGAGAAAAATATATTGTACACATCTCAAAGCTTGAGTTTTTAATCATAAGAATAAACGGAATACAGAAATGATGATATCATGTCATCGCAATGAAATTATCTATTTTTATTAGAAGCGATAACTTCTAATAAATGCTTCCCTTGTAAAAGTACAATGCTATATTTGAATGGGAATGAAAACAACAAGGGATTTAGAGAAGTAAAACTGTGATAATTATATGAATGAATTAGGATCCATAAAAGCAGAACACAAAAATATTACCCTAAAAGCAGAGTAAAAAGGGGGTGGAGGAGGGGGGGTGGGGTAGACTTTACCTTTATATCAAGTTTGTCATTCACAACAAATTTCTGCTCCATCAACACTACATCCTCGTAGTATTTCCGCAGACGACCTTCAACCATTTTCTCAATGGCCATTGCAGGTTTGCCTGTACTTTCTGCCTGATAAGGAACAAACTACATGTTCATCTAACTTGACATTAAAAACATTGACATGAAAGGTATGTGCAGCTTTTGACATTATAAGCCATTAAGNGCATTTTTAGAGGAGAGAGTGAAACTGCTACTTGGGTTGAAACAACGCAAATAAGAACTTATTGTGAAAGGCCCAAAATCCTAGCAAAAAGAAATGAAATAATCCCTCCGCCCGGTGTTTGTCAGGTTTCTATTTGGTACATGGACCCAAAAGATGGGTCATGGGAATAGGGGGAGGGGGGAAGTGTCCAACTTTCCATTTTGGGAAGTGAGTGAAGGAGTTGGGGGTAAATCAGGCATTACATTCTTTCTTGACCTTATGTTGAAATTGGACAAATACCCTAGGACGATCCAAAAAGGAATACTAGACAAATACAATGGGACAAAATGAGTATTTACTGTTTACGACAAACTGACGAAGTCTACCTGCGATTTGAGAATCTCACGTTCATTTTCTAATGCATCAGTAGAAACATTTTCCCGGGTTAAGAACAATGGCTTTGCTGCCACCACATGCATTGCTAGTTCTGATCCAATGCGCCGAACAGCATCCAAGGGAGCATTAGGATCCTCTACTTCAAGAGATAAAATCCCAGCAATGCGCCCAATGCCTGCAACATTCACACCAACAACAGAGCTATATTAACTCAACATGTGATGGAAAAGACAGACAAGGTACACTTTGTGACATCCACTTCAGGTAAAACAAATATTTTCACCGAGTACCTTGTTGGGGACTTGTATGTAAATATGTAGCCATGATACCCTGCAAGGGATTGGCTATTGCAAATCCCCTTCTCAGTTTAACATGTTCCCCCATCATTGCAGCTATTTCAGTAATTGCATTTTGAACAGTTCTCTCTCCATTTAATTTAGGGTGAACAAGATTAAGCTTCACACCCTGCAGTCAAAGTTATGTTCTCTTGCTTTCATTTTCATTTGATACATGAGTATCTGTTTTTGCTTTAGAGACACAACCCCAACATGACAACATGGCAGCATGACAGATTTAATACAATGTTTGTTCATAAAGGCAGCAAAAGCAACAGCAACACAGTAAAGTCCCACAAGTGGAGTCTGGAGAGGGTAGTGTATACAGACCTTATCCCTACGAAGACACTCGACTCAAGAAAACAGAAAATGTTATAACAATCAACATGAGAAAAAAAAGTAAGGGAAAAACAGAGAACTGCAAAGATCTCACAGGAAAAAATAGAAAGTAAGCATATTAATAAAGGCCTTCAAAATAAGTAACAGAGAATATGGCTGTTAATACCAATGAGATTTAACTATGCTACGACAACATCAGTAAAAGTGGAAGCTGTTCAGAACATACAATGCAAATAAACTTCCATACACGGGTATAGCTTTAGAAAATCAATTTTTCGGCCGGCCAACAGCTCAATATTTCTTTGATAGAAAGAAGTTATACCCAAAATAACCATTGCAAAGCTTCCTGCCATCTGTGTAGTGAACTAAAACTCAACATTTACATGCAGAAAAAGCAATAAAGACGTCTTACCTCCAGAAATTCAGGTCCAAAATGAATTGAACCAGATGCCTGCTGTGAACCCTCAACCAATAGTGCTGATCTTGCCAAAGACAAAGCCTACCACGATTTATACTGAGGGAATAAGCTTTAACACATGATAGATAACATAAGAACAAATATGTAAATAAAAACCAAAAGCAGAATGGAGCTCAGAGATTTCATTCAAAAGGCATTGCGGTGAGGACACAGTACAACTTTGAGTCCATGAAAGGATTTTATGAAGAACAAGGCAGCCGGTAATGTGTTCAACTTTGAGTCCCATCTTCTTTATCTAAGAAAGTAGAGTTTAAGGTCAAGAAGGTTTTGTACTAACCAGGTACTGAAAAATTTCATTCCTTGCAACAAAATCTGTTTCACAGTTAAGCTCAACTAGTGCAGCCCTTCTTTCATCCTGTGCCAAAGCCAGCAAACCTTCAGCAGCAGTACGAGATGATTTTTTTGATGCCAGAACAACTCCTCTTTTCCTTAACTCTTTTTGAGCCGCATCTGCATTCATTAATCCATGCAACAGTGATAATTCCTCTTAAAAGAAACAACACAGAACTACAAAGTTGTTCATAAATTTACTTGTTTTTAATCAATGGTAGAAAAAAAAACCTCATCCATTGACAACAAAGCTAAAAGTGTCATTTTTGACAAGGTTATAGCTTTGGGTATATAATAGACTAAATCAAAAGTACACTTTAAACTTACCTTGCTCATTACTTTCTATGAAGTTTTGGACACTAAATGCATAAAGGAAAGGGTAAGGTTGTGTACATCTTGACCCCGAGATGCCAACAGATTTGAAGATATAGTAGAGTTCAAAATGAGAGTGAATAACATATATAGATAGAAAGCGTGAGACTTACCAATGTCCCAATTGGTACCAACAAGAGCAGCCTTTACTTCTTTTATGGGTGCACTAGTTCGCTCCCTCAGGAGCTTTATCAAGCTCATCTGGTCCACAGCAGAAACATCAGTTGAGTAGCTTCTTAATGGGAACCCAATCTCAAGACTCCTATTTGGATATCTAGAGACGCATGGGTTTGCACTTCCCCCAATTTCATTACCCAACTTTCCTCCACTTGTCAGGGTGGTGTAAGACTGTCTCAATTGCAAGGGGGCATTTAACCTCTTGCTCAGGATCTCAAAGGGGCATTTTACACCTCGAGGAAAGCCCATTTCCAATATGGGTGTACTAACAATTAAACGCAGTCTGTAGAAAGTGATAACAGATATATCAGCGCAGCCATAAAAGAGGGTAATGGAAACTGAAAAAGAGAAGTAGAATTTTATAAAGCAGGCAGTAATTTGAGAATGAGAGTATGAATTGAAAGAGAGAATGATAGAACATCATTTAAAAGGACATAGCCACCGTGCCTCCGGTAAAGATCAGAAGAATCAGATAGCGTTATGCGGTGGCGGTGGCGGCGGCGGCAATGGTTGAGGTCACTGCCGGCAATGCTGAGGGCTCCTCCTAGGTGGGCAGGTGCAGGTTTTGGTGATGTTCGGACTGTTGCGGGTCGCTAGTATTCTGCAATTGGACTGATTCTTGGTCCGGTTAATTATTTACTTGGATTTGCCGGTTTGGGTTTAGACCAAGTATTGTTTATGACACTAGTATCACACCCGTGCGTAGGGCTGTGCATCGGTCCAAACCCGGACCGACCCAGACCAAACTGGGACCGGACCGGGACTGAATAAGAACGAAGTAATGGACCGTAGACCGGACCGAAATAGTGTGAGACCGGACCGGGACCGGACCGAATAAAATTGGACCGGTCCGGACCGGTCCGAATAAGGACAGAATAACAGACTATATGTTCATCAATATGAATACATTCACGAGCACTACGCATACTCCATTCTAAAGTCTGTCAATGCTAAAATTGATATGGTTATGATTCCATTCAACTATACAGAATTATCAATGGTCTAAAAAAAGCTACTATAAATTTTTTTTAAAAGGCTTTGAAAAACTCAGTTTTTTTATTCATCACTAATTTTGACTTATACTCCCTCCGTCCCAAAAAAATTTATACGTTTCAAAAAAATTGTATCCCATCCAGAATTATTATTATTATTATTATTATTATTATTATTATTGTTCTTAAAAATGAAAAAGAATAAACTTTAGAAATATGTTAAATAGAAAACTGAGAAAGTAATCCTTAATTATTAGAAGTCAGAAAAATTAGTTTTAAAATACATTAACAGTGTCAATCTAATTCTACTTTTAAAATATATTTTTATTGCTACTTGTAATTTGAGTTTCTAAAGTTTTGATCTTTTATAAGGATGAGATATTTTAATAAAAATACTATCTCTTCTATATATTGATTATCTAAATTTAATTACTTTTTAATGTATATCTAAATTAAATATTTATTCTAATGTATATATGAAGTAATTATTAAAATATTAAATTAATATTCTAATATAAAAAAATAATCATAAAATAAAAA